AGTTAAGCTGAAGCTCTGCTTGAGTAGAAACCTGCAGCCATGGGGTAAAGATAGAGGAAACTCTGTGAATTTGAACATGTATGGATGTTTGAATATCTATCAAGTAAAAATTGTATCATTCTATCCAAGCCGCACCATAATCATTTGGACAGTATTTTCCTCATAAATAAATAATTCAACCTCAATGAATACAATATTTACAAAACCAGAAGTGGGACATAAAGATGAAGGGCTAAATGTGATTGTATGTTTTTTTTTAGTACTCTCTGCCATAAAATGTGGGTGATAATGTGACAGCCTGTGCCTGCGTGTGTGTACGTGTGTTTTATTATTAGCTCATTAACAACTGGATGGATTTTAATGAAACTTTCAAAAATAATTTTATGAATGTTTGTCTGCAACCAATAATCTTTGGATATATCTTGATGCAAGATGGCTGCTACAGCTAACCAAATTTCAGAAATGTAAAACACCTATAATATATGGAGATATGAAGGTAGCACTTGGTTTAGAAGTAGCTGAGAGTCATCCTCTATATGCTGCTAATACATTGAGATCTTTACTTACATTTTGAGCATGTAATGATGTAGGTGATGTATATTGAGAAATATTTTTTTAAACGTATTTCTGGAATAACTTTTGTGTCTAATCTGCATTTGTGCTGTGCTCAAAAATTATTTATATAAAACGGGGTCAAAACAGAGTTCAAAACATCCAGAGAATCCATGTACAGTAATAACGTTTATATTTCAGAGTTATTACAAGACTAAAAATAAAATGGTCTTCAACTTTAGGCTTGCGTTATTATCCCTCACGTCTCATTGAAACCGTTTATAGAGACACTTCATCTGGAAGTCAAACGCATTCTCTTAAACTTTTCACATGTAAACTCTCACTTAAACATTCGTGTACATTGGCTAATCCTCCTGAACATACATACAGTGCAGAGCCTGTGTTCTCTGCTCCACTTCTGTGTAACTTTTAAGGGGGAAGCCCTGGTGTTCTGCAGCTAAAAGCAGCACCATGCCATGAATAATGAATTCAGATTCCCTATTCAGATTAGTTCAAAGGCGTTCTGCTAGTCCATGCATAAAGCAACGAGACACACAGCTCTTTGCTAATGGTCCTCAATTTTAAGGGCCTGGATTGAGCTCGCTGAGACATGCAAATGTTCCAGAGATGAGGAGGAAGACATTGATGAGGAGGGTGTTATCAGTGATGTTTGCAAAGGTCAAGACTTTTTTAAGCTGGACCACCGGCAGGGCACAACACGCCTTCACTGACATAATGAACAGCTGCGCAGAAAGTACTGAGAGTACAAGTTGTCGCAGAGGAAGACTGGGCGTTTCATTGATGCTGAGCGATGATAATGACCTCTGAGCTGCAAGACTGGGGCACAAAGATGAGACTGTCAGAGAAGATATAACGCACGTCACCCAGTTCGTACACCCGTTACTGTACAGCCTCAGGAGCAACATATTCCTCAACTGAAATCATTTCGGACACATTTTTTGTTCTTTTCATCCTGTTTTCACCTATTCTACTAACAGTGTTTTCTGTCTGGATTTTTATATAGACTGTGTTATTTTTTTTTTTGTGTGTGTGTGTGTGTGTGTGTGTGGCCATTCCAGTGTGTGCCCATTTCCTGATTAGACTAAAAACAAAAGAACTTATCTGCAAAGGAAGCAGCACTCTGCTTGTTAGCATACCAAAGGCAAAATGTTTTTCTCAGAAAAAAAAAAGCAACCAAGAGGCGAAAAAAGCCATGATTCTTTTAAGAATCCACTAAAATAAGGTTATTTAAAAAAAATTATTTATTTATTTATTTATTTTTTAATTTTCCCACCTATTTCAGTTCTGTGTTCTCTGCAGCAGTTCTTTCTCAGTTGACTAATTATTTTTGTCACTATGTGCTCTGTTTCACAACTCTTTACATGTTGGTTCATCCAAGCATTTGATTTACCTGAGTTGGAAGAGTTTGTAGGACTCAAACTAGGAACGTCTTCTCATCTCATAGCATTTAATGTGAAAATAAATCAATCAACACCATCAAATCTCAGAGGAATCCTACACAAATGTGCATTTCCTTTGAATAACTAAATTCAGGTCTCTCTTGTAAATTGAGTCCCCGAGGCTCAATGGGATTAACCTGCATAAATAAAGGTTGAATGAAAAAATGCACTGGAGATAAAATAACATTGTGAATGAGTTAAAACCCACTAAAGTTTTTTTTTTATTATTCAACTCCTGGGTTTGGTAAACAGGTTCTTCTTGGGGTTCTGGTTTGTTTTCATTAGTGCAGTGGGAAATGAAGAGCTTCGCTTATTTACAACAGTATTGACGGAAAGCTTGAGCCCAGACTGGCAAAGACACAAACAAATCTGAGAACTTTATTAGGACTTCAGTCTTTTTCAAGCACTAATTACTTACCTTTTTTTTCTGAACAGTACTGAAATGTTATTAAGGGGCTTTTTGACAACTGTTGATGACACTTTCACATAAGACTGTCTCTACTGGTGCTTTGCCACTGTCTCATCTCTCAACGGTTCTGCACCGCACCGTACCAGTTAAGGGCCGACCCACTGTCAGTACCCATCCCCACTCAGCCCAGTATATGGGTTCATCTTGTTCATGGTTTTAAGCGAACTGCTTCGAGGTGATGATTTTGACGTGAGCAGACAGCAGCTGTTGATTGGCCAGCGGACGACATCACTGGATGACCAGCACAGCTGCAAACCACTGAACCTCCATTTTCTCTCTGATCATGTTCAATGTATGTTTTTTTTCTAGTTTCTGGTATGGAAGCTCGAAAAATAGTGCTGCGGACCACTGATGAGGTCTAGACCTTCCTAACTTCATTGGTCAATGTTAGGATTCAGCAGAGCGTCACACACAATGACCCGTTACAATACAATGATGATACGGCCCACAGAGAGGGGAAACAAGTCACCGTGGCAAATCGCCTACACCTGAGCAGAACCGATAAGTCGAGAACCGAGTGGAGTCGGGCTTATCAATGGCAAAGAGGCTTATAACAGTTTAAACCAGAATTTTTTAAATATTTAGTAAACAAAGAACTGTGCCAAAGTCTCAAGTCATCTCTTGTTTCTTTGAATTATGCTCCTCAGGTGTCTGTTTAATTTATATTATTAAGTTATCTTAATCAATATTTATGGAAATTATCCGAAGGTCTTGTCTGCTTTTCAGCTTATTTATGGTACAGTATTTTTTTTATTATTGTAACAATAATTGTTCAGCTGCATAACTCTGGCTCATGAATAACTCAGGAACAATAAGCCTCCCAAACTGAAAGCAGAAAACACATAACAGACAAGAAAGCTAAAACAATTTTAAATCTTTAAACACATTGTTACAAGCAGTCAGTTACAAATACAACTGGTTTAGAATATATTTAGCTGCATCTATTATACAAATCAAGGATATCAATTTGACAGCAACAAAATAATTCTCAAAATCTATTAGCTGTAATTTGTCATATAGTCAGTGATGAACTGATACATCTGCCAGGTCCTTTGTCCCATTGTTTTATTTTAGGACTTTTCTTTATCTACTTAACGCATGTTTTAAAGCACATAGGTTGTCATTATGAGGTACAAGAGGTTAACAGAAAATAAGTGAAAAAAAAAAAAAAAACTCCAACCGAAAACTTCAAAAGACCTTCCAAAAGTTTGAAGAAATATTCAATTAAACAGGTTTAAAGAATTTAAAGTCTGGCTCCTTGAAGGATTAAAGAAAGAAACTAAAAATGTCTCACACAGTCACACAGTGAGGCCTGTTTGTACCTCAGTTCTTGAAAAAGGAACATGAAGAAAACTTCCTCATAATGTAAATGTATTCACGTGGTTACTTTGAGGATTCAGTGTCTTATTAAGGGAAAAAAGTCAATGGAACCAAATACAGTGAACCCTCGTTTTTCACTGGGGTTACGTTCCAAAAAGAACCCGTGATAGGCGAAATCCGTGAAGTAGTAACCTTTATTTTTTTTACAATTATTATACAATGAAATACTCCATAATACATTCAACCAAAGAACAAAGCCTTTTTACAGGCCCAAGCATTTGTTTAACAAATAAAAGTACTGTATAAACGTTTTTTTTTACAAATAACTACAGTAACTACTGAGACTGTTTAGCCAATCAGAATGCAGAACACAATGCACGATGCAAATCCGTGAAGCAGCGAGACCGTGAAAGGTGGTTATAGCGAGGGTTCACTGTAACCAGCATTATTTTAAAAAGTCATGAAAATATCTTTTTTACTTGCTCTTCCAGATTACAAATATTTTCATGAAACCCTTGAGGGACATTTAAATGTATGCGATACATGGTCACGATTTTTTATTTATTTCTTTATTATTTTTCCTGCTCTTAGTTCAGAAATCAACTGTGCCCTGTGGTGATGCTAAACCGGGGCTATTCAACTAAATTGCTCCGGGGGCCACAGTTACTGAAAGCCAAGAGCTCAGGGGCTGGACATCCAGCAGTTATTGTCATTAAATAAGCTTGTTCTACAGTTTAAATTCTAGTTTTATTTAAAAATGAACCCATTGCTGAGCCGAACTGAGCTCACCAGTGAACCTGATTTGTCCCGCGGGCTGCCATTTGAATAACCCTGTGGGAAACCATCTGATTAAATCCCAAAAATTTAGTCTCCAGTTTGCAGCTCTGTCACTTCGTAGTGAAACTGAATCACTTTATTCCAGACTTAAATAGAAACAATACAATTTAGAAACTTTATACATGGTTTTAAATAAAACCCTGAGATTGTTTTGATCTCACAAAAGCTGAAAAAGTGACCCACTTTTAGTGTTTAAGCTCCATCCAACCAAACGGACTCTAAGTAAACCTTATTCTTTCACTGCTAATTATTGACTTTCCAGCACGGTTCATTAGGAAAACCTGCAACCTGTGAAATCAGCGCGATTTTATCTGATTATTTTAGAGCAGCCGGGATGAGACGGAGTAAACGAAGACACTGACCTCATTAAAGTGAGCCACCTCCTCACAGTTCTCTGCCACGCGGCTGAAGAAGGGCAGACCTGAAACACGCAGAAGGATTTGAAGGTTAAAAGGCAGCAAAGTTTAGATGATTCTTATTATCTCACTTTCAGAAGGTAAAGGTACAGCAGGGGCATCTCCACTGCGAACAAAAGTGCTCTTAGATCACGTTTTTTCTGCTTCCATAATGAAAAACCTTTTTAGTCACATGAAGTTTGAAATGATGTTTACTCTGGAGCAGAATGCATAAATATTCTTGACTAAATGGTGTCAATGAAGCTAAAAGTAATTACATACATCTACACTTTTTAATTCAAAGATACACTATTCTAAAATATATTTAGTGGTTTGTGCCCATTACATGATCAGAATGTTAAATGTTTTCTCATTTATTAAATAAAGTTTTCTCTCAGTTTTTAGGTATTACTGTTTGTCAGGTGTCAAAAAAATGTATGTCATTGTGCTTCATCTAAATGTTTTATAAACTTTGACATCACTGTTTAATTTACATTACATGGTTCTTCTGGAAGAGATATACCACTTCCTGCTGGATGCACCCAAGGCTGCACTGGAAATATCATTAGCTTGAGCTGTTTATGTTTGCAAACAACCACATAATGTGAGCCTGACAGCAGCGTAAAGGTTAATAAAACAGGGTTCACGTTAAATGTTGACATTAGCATGGTTTCAAGATTTCAGCAATCCACTTTGGTCTTGCTTTAACTAACCGTTAGCTTGTCAGTCTGGTCAGAATTTTGTTCAAATATCCATCTACAACAGGTGAGATATTTATTAGACCATTATACCATACTTCAAAAGATTTGAACTATCATTTGTGGAAGTTTGGAGCCACTGAATTAATTGATTAAACTGTTTTTGGACTCCCAACTCATCCACATCACAACCCTCATGATTAAACATGATTACACTCCTCTAACCACAATGAGATGTAAAAGGGAGATAAACGGAAAATGCAGCAAACATTTACAAAGCAGTCATAATTTTTTGTAATAAAAGCATATCCCTCTCATCTTTTAACAATCTGTTGTTGCGGTGTTTATCCCCTCACTGCACAGAAACCTGATTCTCTCATCAGTGCTTCAGCTTCTGCTCACCTGGTTTGCTTTGTGGCTCTTATGAATGGTCCCTCTCTGCTTTGTTGTTTGTCTTTGTGTAACCGGGGCTTTCACGACACACAAACACACACAGAGCTGCAAAGTTAATAAAGCCTCTGTCACCTTGGCTTTAATGTTTGACTAGAAACCACTGATTTGACCCAGCTCTGATATTATTAAAATCATGCGGTGAGGGCGTCTTTTGTTCATTTGAAGAAAGAAAAACAGCTGTTAGAATTAAAAAGATGTCAGCTGAAAAGTTATTCAACTTCCTCCTTACATCTCACCAGGTCAAAAAGGCTGTTCTTATTCACTGCAAACATTCCTGTCTCCTTCACATCACTGCTCGACTCAATGTAATCTTAAGAAATCCACGTGTCTTTTGAAGTAAATTTTTAAAAGTAAATATGCTTCAGGGTTAAAGTGGGAGAGACAACACTCCTACTACATTATTGATAAGAATGGCTCTGCTCTCACAGGAGTGTTTTCATCCAACTGGAGACGTGGGCTTGGAAAAGTAGATTACATGAGGCTTATATAATGCGCTCAGCCTCAAACTAAAGAGACGTTCTGCCAATCAGCTCGGCTTTTAGATTCGATCAAACAGAAAGAGATGAAGAAACAGAAAGCAGAGTTGAGTGAAATACAAAAGGAACAGACTTTGAATAAAGAAAAAGAATATTATCTGTGTTAGGTGATGGGAATAAAAGGAGAAGAGCAGGATAGGAAACACTCAAACAAAAAGTTTGTCTCAAGTTTTATGTGTTAATTTGGGATGAAACGTTAAAAAGAAACTTAAATCTGATATGAATGTAATTTGTTTGTCCATCATCGGTCTGCTTTAACACCTACCGGTCATCTTTATTTCTTTGTGCTCCTGTTTTCTTTAGGTGTCTTAGCACTAAACAGTAATGGTTTATATATCGAACAAGTGCCACAATGAAAACTCTGTCAGCCAGTAGTTGTTAGTTAAAATGTTCCAGGCAGAAAAACTTAATTCGGATATGTTGCCAGTTAAAACACCTGAGCAGTATAAATAAGTATAAATGCTGAATGTTAAAGACACAGATTTGAAGATGAGAACATTGATGAAAGCAGTAAAACGATATCTACAGGACTGCACAATGTGTTTAAACCTTTAAATTGGTATTGGAATGATTGTGATAAATCTCAGACACGAACTGTATGACAGAAAAAAACTCAACATACCACTTTATTTAGATACACCATGCTATTACTGAGCTGGACCTCCATTGGCCTTCAGAACTGTTTTAATTCTTTGTGGCATGAATCCATAAAGTCTGCTGTAGCTCATCATCTTCAGAGTTGGACATGTTTGATGTTCAGAGATTTATTCTGTAGACCTTGGTTGCAACAAGTGGTTATTTGAGTTATTGTTGCCTTTCGGTCATCTCGAACCAGTTTGTCCTCTGACCTTTGACATCAACAAGGCATTTTTAATCCACTCACTTTCCACTAACTGGATGTGTTTGCCCTCTTTTTTTTTTTTTTTTTACATTTTCTGTACTAAAGATGTGTGAAGAACAAAGTAGATCCATGGTTTCTGAAATACTCAAACCAGCTTGTCTGGCACCAACAACCACAGTCAAAACTTCATGTGGGGAAAATATGGGTGTATCACAACTGGTATGGTCATCGCAGTATTTAACAATAATATTGCGGTAGCATGTTTTCCAGCATCACGGAACACTAAAGTAAACAAACTTTTGCATGTTTTTATCTTTATATATATTTTTAATTAATTTCTGCACACTTATAATTGTTCTTCAGGCTCTGACGAGTGCCGAGGAGCAACGAGTCCTGGAGGGCCTTTTCTTTGATAAAAGTAAGGGCTAGATAACAGCATGAATTCATCAAAGACGTGTCACAAACTCAATTAATTTCTGATGTTCAGTCTTCATGGTGACCTTGCTGCACTGATTATCTCTGCTTTTTAAAAAAACAACTGCAGTTTTAGTTTTACCGGAGCAGAAATGCTTTAAATTTTATGTTTTTTTAATGTCTGTTGAAATAAGAGACATTTATCTTCTAAAAAGTGATTATGGGCTGAATTATTTAATTTTATTTTTATTATTTATTTATTTTTAAGCTATGTCTTGCTTATCATGTGGCTTCTGCTTCATACTGTGAGTAACCCTTCAAATATATGCTATATATGCTTAAATTAGATTTCAGACAGGATTTTTACTTAAAAATGGCTAAAATACCGTTTAGGCTTTTAAACTGAGCAATATTGATGGAAAAGTATTTGAAACCTCTCTTAAAGTGGCTAAAGGAAATTCAACTAAAAGAAAACGTTGCAGAATCTAAAAGCATAAAGCATAATGCAGACATTTGTGATTAAAAAAAGGACAACACTCATCTCTCTGTTCATCTTGGTTTTACTCTTTGAGGGGTAAAACATCAGCAGGGACATAAATATTGCCAAAGATCTTCTGATACCTGACAGCACTACTTTAAAACGTCAGCAGATTACATTTAAGTATGGTTTGATACCTCTGGATCTGGGCAGTTTGCCATAATCCAAAAGAAATTTGTAGACATGTTTCACTGTAAAACTGTTTGACTGTCAGGTAATGCTGCAGATGGATGAGAATAAACACTGAAGTAAATCTGTGCTGGCATCAACATGTAAATAAAATCCTTTCTTTGGGGGGACTCCATCAGAAAACACACCTAAATGTGCATTCTGCTTACACCATTACACCCCCATTCAATGCTTTCAAAGTTATAAATGTTTTTATTTGTGTGAGTTTGATACAGATGAAAAAGTGTGTGTTTGTCTTTGATTTTGAGTTTTTTTTTTTCCTACTTCAGTGACAAACGGCTCAGAACCAGTAAAACACCACCTCACAAGCATGAAGAAAGAGGGGCTTGATTTTTCTGACAGATGTCTTCCTCTCCAGACAGGAAGTTTTTAGAGCTGAAGGAACTCAGGAAACTCTACTGACAGGTTGGAGGGAAAAATACGACTCAATATACTGAAACAAAGGAGAAGACTGACACAAGAACAGTAAACAGAAGTGTTTTTGTAAAGGAAACTCACCTTTTATCATATTTTCTATTTCATATTGTGAAATAAATCAACTTCCAACTATGCAAAAAGACATAAAGGAAACTTTGACATAAAGGGGATAAAAGCAACTTCACAAATGCAGCTCCCTATGATTGAACAGACTTATCTTTAGATATAATTGTGTTTTAATTTGAATCAGATGAATATCAGACTGTTTATACTATTTAGTTAGAAAGTCAAATCTTGGTGGCAAAATATGTAATTATCACTCCAAGAAAAGCAGATGCTAATCACATGATGTGCCACGATGATTCATTATTATATGAGTTTGATTTCTTCTCCCATGTGTTCAGTGTCTCTCATATAAATTAAATTAAAATGTAATAAATAAATAAAAATCTTAAAAACATAAAAACAGTATAATTACAGTATTTGAAAATCTCATAACCACATCTTATTCACAATGGAACATAATAAACATATCAAATGTCTAAACTATAATGTACCATTTGGGGGGGAAAATAAACTATTTTAAATTTGATGGCAACAACGCATACAAAAAGTTGGGACAGGCAACAAAAGACTGTCAGTAAAAATGGTGCAAATGAAAAAAAAGCTAGAGAGAACATTTTGCTACAAATTTGGGTAATTGGAAACAAATCACTCCTCCTTGAATCATGGTGGAGGAGTTTGAGTGCCTGAATGACACTAGGAGAAACAACTGCCCCTGGGTCTCCTAAGGCATACTGGTCCTAGGTGACAGGCCAGACAAAGAGCAATTCCAAAGACTCATATGGACAGAAAACAGCAAAGAGCTCAGTGTCCTTTGTCTGGACATGGGTTACCAGGGCTTCACCCTGGCCAGGCCTGGGGGAGAGGTTGATGGTGA